AAGGCTGAGTGCACCCATCCATGCATGTCCTTTTCCCAATGCCCTCATCGGTGGGCTTTACAAAGGCAGCTGTTCCTGGTGGTATTGGACAGGCGAGTGGAAGTCTGGAAGAGGAGAAGGAAGCATAGTTAGGGCTGGCTTGGGTCCTTATGATGTTACTGCCACGGTCTAACGTAGGCTGCAAGATGTGGTTGCTTAAATTCAGCACAGGACTACACCGCAGAATAAAAAGAGGGAGTAAAGATAAAAGATAAAAATCTTATCTGCTAGGAATCAAAGATTACGAATTCATTTCATATACAACACCAGACACCCATTAACCAAAATGGTTTTTGGTTAAAAGGATGGGCTGTGTTTAAATCCACGATAGGAAGATGAAAAGCTGCACAATCCTTTCATGTTTTGTTTTTGTTTTAGTATATTTCTTCCCAACATTACAGTATTAAGGAGAGAAAATGAGGATACATCCCAGACCCACTTCAGAAAAGAGATAAAATAATCAGCTTATGTCTTTCATTTCTCCTGGGTTTGCAGAAACTTGTAAGAAGCAGATTACCTCTCATGAACAGGTTCAGAGGTCCTTTTTTATTCACCTACCCATTGTTGCTGTACACAATTATTTAGGATAATCTGCAAAAGAGTGACAAAGAAAGTAAAACTTAAACCATTTTATGAAACACCTTCTGCTTTCATGGCTAGTAGCTCTCTTTTTCTGTTCTATTTATAAGATTACAGTAACTTTGTGCTCCCGTAAAATCACGACAGGTATGAATATTTAGTAACTAGTATGGTTCTGTGATTTATTCTGTACTTTTACTGACAGCGGATACCTCAGACATTTAGCAAACTAATTCATGTTCTCTGCACATCTATCCTTGATTGCAGAAGATCTTCTCTAAACAGGATGGCTCTAAACCATATTTTAATATGGAAGTGCATTTCTTATGCATTTGTAACATTAGTCCTAAGCTGCGTTTGTTGCACTGCATGCGGAAAGAGATCGTTTGATCCTTAACCTCATTCCCCCATCTGCAGTTTCTTCCATCTCTGTTGAAATAAAATGCGAGCAGCTTTAACTCTGTGCATCTTTTCTCTCTGGTTTTAGGCATGCCTGTAGGCCATTGCCTGGAGAAACCAAGCTTTGCCATGATTGCCCTTGACACTGAGACTGAAGCAGCACCCAGCTAGTAAGAATGGAACTGAAATCCCACCTTGCATAGCCCAGGGGCATTTTGATCATTTCACTTTGGGCACTAGAAAGATGTGACGGATTGGTCAATTAAATTTGCAGTAGTTTATATGCTTCAGTGGAATGACAGAGATTATCCCAGCTGGGACTGAGTCAAAATATTTAATCCAACTTGGTAAAAGAAAGTTTTCAACCAAGACAGAAAAACAAGTAAGCCTAAAGCTTGGCTTTTATCTTCATAAAAAGAAACGCTTTAGAGCAGGTTTTTTTCTTCTGTGTTCCCCAATGCACTACTGGAGACTGCAGTGTCATTTCTTTTTGCATCCACCTGTAAAAGCACCTGAATTTTGTCACCTAGCCTTTCTGAATTTTGACTCTTTTGCATGGACTCTTTCGGGAATCTGCTGACTCGCTTGCTTTCTTTTAAGTGTTTTTGGTTATTGGGTGGCCGGGGAGTGGATGTCTGCTGCAATTACCGTTGTTTTGATTGCATCCACTGAGAAAAGTGGTAGGGCCTGCGGGAAGCCCCTGTGTGACAGAGGGCAGGGCAGGAAACTGCTGGAAACTTCTTCTTACATTGCCCAAACCAGCCAGACTGTGACAAGTGACATTTCTTAAAGTTGCTTGGGTGGCTTGTCTGGTGGCTGATAACTCTGTAAGGCTGATGGTGAGCACAGGGCTTTTCTGTCCTGTATTTTTTAGCGTAAACTGACATATATGTACTTGTAATGAAATGTTTGGGTGTGCAGCAGTTTTCATTTGGGGATCCTCAAGCTATCTATTTACTTTAATTAGCAAATGTGGGTTGTTTGTCTCTGTGGGGGTTACTTTTATCAACCTGTTTTAATAATTGACACCCACTGAGCAACCAAGCTCCACTATCACAGTCTGAAACTTCTGAGCAGTTTTCCTTAGTGTATGCACTCAAATTTTGTCTGTGAACAAATGCTGATGCTAAATCGGTATGGGAAGACTGAAAATCAAAGTGCTTGCTGCCCTCTGATGCTTACTAAAAACATTCTGGACCTCATAAGCCCCAAATGGGTCAAATGTCTTAGTGCATAGGTGTGTTAGCACTTAAATTGAGCTACTGTAGAAGGACAGAGACTAACTGTGCTCTTATTATTTCAAATTGCTTGTGGGCGTGCACCACATTGTTGCAATTTTTTTATTATCAAAAGGAAAGAAAATCCTGCTTTTCTTCTTCTTTTTTTTTTTTTTCTAGAAGAGGTCTATTCACAGAGAGAGACTGCCAACCTTGGGAGTTCTGGCCTTCTGAAAGCTGACAGAATTTCCTGTATGAGTTGCTTTTATAAAGGCTGTTTCCTCTCAGGTTTTTATGTCGCTTTTCCTTTTTTGCATTTCTTCTCTTTGTTCTTACTCTCTCCCCGCTTGTTCTCATTCATTTAAGCTGATCTGTGTACTTCAAAAAAGAATTGAAGTAATAATATGCTGATGTCTACAGTTAAGTTTATATATTTAAGTTCTTCCCTGACCACCTCTTTATTAAATAGAAAGCAAATTTTCTTGAGGCTTGATTTCATTGTGATTAGCACAATTTGGGGCAGTAAGTGCTTGAAGACTTGCACCTGCTTTTGAAGCAGCAGCCATGTCATTTTTTCACCGTCGTTTCATTATGCCCATGCTAAGCCCACCATAGTCACAAACCTTATCCACAATTATTATTCTTATTTTGCAGATGGTTAACTGAAAGTTTCGTTGTTGTGCCCATCCTATCTATCAAACAGTACTTCCTTCCTTTCAGGCCACTCCTGCTGCACAGGATGACTCACTCCGCTTCCTGGGAGTTTCCAGTCGTAAGAATTTTTATTGACCAAGGTATATTTACAATTATTCACCCCTGTAAGCATTGCAAAGTTAGAGAAGTTATCTGGGTTCTGTGCTTTTAAGACATAGTTATTTTACATGAGGATGCTTTTTTCTGTGTTGGAAAGGAAATGGGTTTATGGGGAATATACACTGCAATGCTTTGATAGGGTATTTCAGCAGGTAAGACATTAAAAGGTCATGTATTTATCGGGATATGAGGTTTAGTTCTGGTTTTAGTTAGATGAGCACAGGTTTACCGAATGAGATCTGACTGCATCACTCTATCTGTACTAGTACTTTAAACGTGTGTCAAAGATGAAATTGCAGTTACGAGTATGAAGTGGATTTTGATGGCAAATATCAGCAGATATCTCTTTCCCAGGATTTCTTTGTTAGAATTAGTAACCTGGAAATGACAGAAGGGCTTCATGTAAGGATGTAAGGGCTTCATGTTGAGGATGGTCCTACACACATATTTTAAAATGTTGGAAATGATTAGTTAAAAAGCTCAAGCAAATTATTGTTTTTAGATACTAAACCTGAATATCTTTAAACCCCAGAATTTTGCATTAAGCTGAACTTTTTTCTCATTATCCATGGGAACCTCCCACATGTGGACAGACGATCCCATTGCTCCACTGAGTGGGATTTATGGCAATACTCTCTGATCCTGCTCAGAGATCTTGCCCCCTTCTCACCTCCATCCTAATACCTCCCTCCCTTCCATCAATCTGCTCCATGTGGCTTCCTGGTCTCTTGTTCCTTATTGCCTGCCCTGACGTGTCCACTCTCAACTGCAGGCATCAGATAGGCTGTTACCGAACCTGAGAAGCTCCATCAGCACACTGTTTCCACAGCTTCTGCCTTGATGGCATCAGGTCAGCATCGCTTTCATAGCAGCCGACTTGTTTTCAGAAACTGAGGAAAAGGGGGGGAAGCGGCAGAAATCAAACTTTCCGCTGGACATGTGTAACTCCAGCCTGAACAACAGCAATGCAGCGATGACTTTGTAACACACCTGCGTCCCTTCTGGGGGTGCTGGGGGTGTCCAGGGGACTCTCAGCACAGAGGCTATCTCATCACGGCCAGGTAAATACTCTGTTGGGGAGGCAAAAAGAGGAATCACTGCACCAATGTGTAGCACCAAACTTAGTAACAACATCTACCAGCAGCAGGAAAATCCACAGGCTTTCTTAGGAGTATGTGCTGTGGGGACTTTGTGAACAGTTTGACAGAGGCTCTCAAGGCAAGAAGCGAAGGGTCAGCTTCTACAGGATACATGTGTTTACTTTAAAACAAGAAAGTGCATCTTTTTCCCAGAACAGGCTGTATTTTTTCTTTCAGCCACAGGCTGCATTCAGACTTCCTCAGAATATAACCAACAGCGAGTTTACAAAGCCTTTGCTTGACTCTCCTATCAATTTCTATCTCGACGAGTAGTTTCCTGTTTCCTGAGCAGGCTTCTGGAGGCACTTTCTCCTGTAAAAGCAGTTTTGGCTTTACATGATTCCTGGATTTTACACAATTAATCTTTGCACAGTTCCTCAACCTGAGAAGTCACAGGGAGATCTTATTTAAGGTGATAGCTAAAAATCGTAACCCAGTCTTTGGCCAGCTCTGACAGAGCTGATGCCTCTAAGCAGTGCAGAGATCTGGATTTAGATACAAAATGAGTTCATTAAAAATCAAAGAGGCTGAGGTGGCAACACGGGTGCCCCTCAGACCCACTTTCAGGCCTGTGCCCTCGAAAGGCACAAGACCAACCAGGTTCAGGACGGTCCAGCTGGCAAAGCACAATCAATTTTCTCACATTTCTCGAGAAACTTGATCCCTCCCCCCCCCGAAAAGCCTTTAAAAGAAAGAACCGGGTGGCTTCTCTTCAATCCTGACAGGGCAGAGGCGGGGGGTGGGGGCGGGGGGGGCACTCCCGCCCGCGACAGGCAACGCCAACGGTGCCGCGAGGGAGATTCCCGCCCCCCACCTCCGCCAGCCCTGTCACGGGGGCGTCGCCCCTCCCGCGCGACCACCGGCAGCCGAGCCGCCCGCTGCGGCGCAGGCAGGCGGAGGGCGGGAAACGAGCGTTTCTCCTCCGGGCGGACCCCGCCGCCGGCGTCGCCCCTTTAAGCTCGCGCATTCCGGGAGGAGGGGGAGGCTCCCGGCCTGCCCCGCGCCGGCAGCCCCGCCCCCGGCCGCGC